TCAATTTAACACACATCTCTTCATTAGAGACAACGATAGCATTGTATGTGTGTTTAGTTTACAGCTATTTTTGTTAAGGGAACTGAAAAAACCTAACCCAGATTAGATGGTTAACCCAGGTTTAGCTAAACCACATGGCAACCCTTAAACACCCACAGCAGCCACAGCTCTCCTCTTGTTCGCGAGCGCAGGTAATGGTGCAACAGGAGTTGCATCACCTTGTCTTCCCTTGGGACCAGAATAAGTTAAACACACAAACAACCTCCCAGGGAATTCGGGAATTGAGGGCTGAACCCTTCTGCGGGGCAGCGGCGTCTCATAGCATCGTCCCTGCTTCGCAGCCCTTCTCCTCCACTCACATCCCAAATCGCGGGGTGCGAGAGCAGCGGCATGGGGACACTTGCTCATGGGCTAAACACGCTGTCCCTGCGGCTGCGGGGCCACGCTTTGGGGAAAAGCCACAAAGGCTTGTGTGCTGGGCTAGGAAAACCTCGCATGAATGCCTTGCAAGGGGTAAATCAGGGTCATACCCCCTCTCCCTCCCTGCACTGGGGTGCTGGAAAGCCCTGCACCAGCACACAGCAGATGAGCCCAGTGCATCCCAGCGGTCTGGGACCCTGTCGGCTCCCCTTGGCCAGTTTTTACCCATGTTTGCAGACCAGCGTGGGGTTGGCCAGTGCTGTTAACAAGGTAAAAATAAATTAATTAAAAAAAAATGCAGAGTCATTGGAAATCTCCTGCTCACCAGGATGGTACCACACACTGCCTCTTTCAGGCTGGGCTCTTCCTGCGTGCACTCCTGCCCCTTTAAATGAATCAGCCAGAGGACAGGTTTACACAGGAAAATTATTTCCGCATGCATTTAAACAGCTGCGCCTGTACAGCTCCTCATGTCGGTGCACGATTGCTGCTTTGCAGCAGGGAAAGGCTTCCCCCGAACCAAACCTTTCCTCTCACCTGGGAAGCGCTCACCACGTCCCGGGGCTGCCATGGGGAGCAGCCACTGTGCCGGCTCGCCGTGCCACGAGTCAGCTGGGGACACGAGTGGCATTTTGGGCGAAGCCACACTGCAGGACGTGGAGGGCAAGGGTGTGCCAGGCGCTGCAGAAACACTGCGAGGAGCCCCAGCGCTCCCACCACTGCCCTGGCCAGCGGGGCTGGAGACCACTGTCCCCCCAAACCACCTTTGCTGCCTCTGCTTGGCTCCTTGCCCAGCCGCAGGGAGTGGGAGATGAGAGTTCAGGCAGAGGACTCTGTTCACATAAAGAAAAATAAATGCACAGGGGTGCAACCCTGGGAGATGTGGGCTGGCCAGGCTGGAGGTGGTGACCTTCTCCAGCAGCATCACCTTCACCTTTGCCTCCTCCACCAGGTAGGAAAGTTCTTGCTTCCTTGGTGGACAGACAGATGGACAACACAGCTTTCAACTCGAGGTGCTCAAAAGATGAGAGATGCAGCTGGTGGGGGGCAGCTCCTGGCTGGGGCCACGTCACCATGGGCTGGGGCCACCACCAGGCACCCTCCCCACCCAGGCACCGTCCCCAGGGCTTTGCAGCAGGAGCACAGCCCTTCCAGCTCACCCCGTGCACCCACATGAGTCACAAGTCACCGTCCTCATTCTCCACTACCCTGTGACCTTGACCATGGCCCTTGAAACTTCAGCTTCTTTCTCCACCCTTCCTCTATGGACTCTGAACACTTCCAGGCCACAGCTATCTTTAGCAAGCATCTACGCAGCATCTAACCCAGTGAAATGTGGTTTTATCTGAGGTTTCTAGGCGTCACCGCAACAGAGACAACGCATTCCCTGTCTCCGAGATGTGTCAGCCCTCTCCGCACAGCCCAGGATTGCATCCAGCCCCACAGCAAGCTGCAGCTTCAGCTCTACACAGCTTTTCATCTAACAAAAAAACCCACCCAAACCAGAGCACAGAAATCCTCTGCCATCCCAGAGGGGGAACTGTGTGGATCTCCCCAGATAATCAAATTTAAAACACCACCAAAATAGACCTTTGATTAGCGGCCATGGAGTCCATTCATAGCGACAGCATGTCAGGTCAATGTTCACTCCCAAAATCAACTGTCTGCCTCGGGAAAGGGATTTTTTTATTTTTATTTGATGGTCTGCATTCAAGGTCTAGTTAATAAACAGTGTGCTTGGGTGTGCCATCTGGCCAGCCATACAGCATGCCTAGAAATAAAACTAATAAATCGTCATATGGTGGTGCTTTAAAAGGCAGTTTTACAAAAGCCTGGGCAAGCTGACTGAAACCTATCAGGCATGTTTTGTGTGCCCCGAGAGCTGAGCCTTCAGGCAGTCTGCCCCTCGAATCAGCCACTGTCAAAAAGGGTCAGAGTCCAAAATTACGCTGCTGTTTTACTCAGAGACTCATCTGAACAGCAGACACTTTTTTCTTAAGCTAGCACGCAGGAATTCACTTGTGCAAGTTAGAGTTGGGCTGGTGCTTTACAAAATAAATAAATAAAAAAATACAACTTACAATATTTTTAATGTCAACAAAACAGAAGCTGGTTGCTGGTGTTGGGCAAGGCTTGTGTGCCTCATCCCAAGTGGGCACTGCCTGGAGGGACACGCACCACTTACCCAGGGACTTGGTGGCAGGTAGACACCGAACACAGAGCTCCGGACCCAATGTTTTCAGCACAAGAGCCAAAAATCTCATTCCTGGATTCACACACACAGCTCCTTGCAATGCAGAAGAGGCTGTCCCACCCGTCGGGATAGACCCCAACACAGGGACGCACCCCATGCTCCTGCCCCACCGAATTTTGGATCCCACTTCATTTTCCCCATACACATCGCTATGCACGAGCCTGCCCCCAGCCCTACAACACAGACAACTGACCTAATTTTCCTCTTTTTAAACACCCAGAGGTCATCTCCATCCGCAGCAAACCCCACTGAGCAGGGAAGAGAACCACAGAGCGATCTCTGTTAGCATCAGTCCTCCTCCCCAAGTCTTCCTCCAAATTTTACCCTATGCTGCCTCTTCTAAATGCCTGAGGATCCGCATCTCCCATGTCCCTCAAGGCTGTAAAACGGTGCTGAAGAGGAGAAGCTAGGGAGGTCCTCTGCCATTTCTGGGTCCATACACGCTGGGGCTGGGTGCGATGGCTCGCTACGTGCATGAACTCCACCTCGTTCTCCTTCACAACTTGGAGCATCTCACCTTAAGTTCCCAAGGGCGTTTCTTGGCTCGCTTCACACAGTGAGACGTGGGGAGATATCACCCACATCCATGCTTTGCCTGCTGCCCGGTGACTCAGAGTCAGGGCGAGAACACTCCCTCCCAGTTAATCCAGTTGCTCCAGTACCACATCCCTCCTCTCCCAGCTGCCAAATATAAGATTTGCCCTATCTGCCTTTCTGCCCAATTTGCCTTTCCAGTAGATCTGACCAAACTCAGATTTTCTAGTCTGTGGCAAACCCTGATGCTTCAGGACACATCTTCCCATACCTAAAACAACCACTAAAAAAGCAAGTGAAAAACTCTACACTTTCCACCCCCAAGAATCACCTTTTTTAGTAAGAAGCTCACTCTAGTCAACTGGAGCATTGCTTTTAAGTTCTGATTTGTCAGAGCTTATGCAAGCAGAAAAATGCAGCATTGAAACAAGAAGGAAGGACATCAACCCAGGGTGTTTGGAAAAAAAAAATATGTATAAAATAATTACAAACAGCATGTCCCTGCAGAACATTTCAATTCTGACTCAGCCCCAGCCTTGGCAGGAAAGTGCAGGTGTTCAACACACACTGAGCCTGGACCAAACCCCAAAAGACAATTTGTGCAAGGCAGCCGGTGCAGAAGCCCATTGCATCTGCACGCAGGGCCCTGGAGAAGGGTCAGGGTCTCTGAGAACACCTTTGCTGCCGACTTTCCGGTGCCCAGGAAGGCTGGAAGTCACTGCAAGGTGGTTTGATGAGGGCATCTCCTCCAAGGAGAGACCCTGCATCTCACTGCCCTGCGAGCACGAGCAGGGGACCCAAAGGGTCTGGCTGCTGCTCAGACCATTATTTGCAGGAATAAAGTGAAACCCTCAACTCAGCAACAAATCTCTAATGACTGACAGATTACTGAAGTTGGAAAAAAAATAATTGCATGCTGGCTTTTAAAAGGCAAAATGTGAGGGTGGCTGAGGTGAAATGAAGAGGAACACATTCATTATACAAGAGCTCAAAGCATCAGCTACGGCGACTTTCTTGACACAGCAAAGGAGAGGAGGCGGCAGGGTTAAACCCCAGGCAAGGCAGGAGCCGACACTTCTGTCGGGCTGCTGCTGCTTTCATGATGCTCAGCAAGGGCAGAGCACAATGCTTTGCTCGCCTCTGGTGTAACGAGCATCCCTTTGGAAAACATACCTCTCCAAAGCTCCTCCGCTCCCCTCCTGAACTCAAGCAGGAAGGCACTCCTGTCCGATAGGCACTAATGGCATGGACAAGGCATTAGAGGAGAGAGGTTCTGCTTCTGTACAACTCAGAAATGCAAGTTAACTCCCTTGCGGGCTGCCAGGGCTTTTGCTACAGCTATGGGTATTTTTATAATCCAGATCTTGAAAGCGAGGAAGAATATGCTTCATGAATTTTTATAAGGCCGGCTTCCTATCTGCTTTTTTTTTTTTTTTTCCTTTTTTTTTTTTTTTTTAAATACTCCCCCCAGTCCCAAAAATTTTTTTTCCTTACAACTCAGAAATGCAAGTTAACTCCCTTGCGGGCTGCCAGGGCTTTTGCTACAGCTATGGGTATTTTTATAATCCAGATCTTGAAAGCGAGGAAGAATATGCTTCATGAATTTTTATAAGGCCGGCTTCCTATCTGCTTTTTTTTTTTTTTTGCCTTTTTTTTTTTTTTTTTAAATACTAGCACCAGATGCCAAGATCCATTCTTGCCTGATCTGCATCCCAAATCCCAAAATATCCCCAAATCCCAATGCCGTGCACACAGCCCCCTGGGAGGCTCAGCGAAACGCCGCCTTACTTACTCATCACACTGGGCGCTGCTGGAGCCGGCAGGGCTGCAGCCGCAGGGACGGCACTGCTGGCTCCTCCGCTCCGGGTAGAACCCCTGGGCACAGCTCTCGCACCGCAGCCCCACGTAGCCCTCGAGGCAGGGGCACTGCCCCGTCGTACTGTTGCATTCGGCTGCGCTGGCGCTCCCCACGGTGCTGCAGTTGCACAGGTCTCCTGCAAGGGGAAAGAGAGGCTGAAACGGGTGTGCTGGGAGCACGGCGCCGAGCAAGAGCCTGAGCGGGGCCAGCGTCGCCGTCAGCACGGCTGCCCTCCCTTTACTCATCCCAGGTTGGAAACATCGTCGCTGTAAGGATGATATTTGCTTTACAATGTTGAGATCATAAAAAAAATGTTGGAAACACCCTGGGGTTTGAACCCCCATGGTTCGTGTTTCAAATCTCTCTCAAAAAGAGAGCTAGAAGATTACGGGTATAACTACTTAAATAGGTATATATGTAGCTCTATATAATGTCTGTCTGTATGTATGTATACAAACACACACACTCACGGTTGTCTGGTTACGCAACTCCAGGAGCTGACAAGCGTTAGCTGTTGTAATATTAGGATAAAATCAACAACAAGTGGCAGAATCACTGATTATGAAGACCCTCCAGACCACTGGAACACCTCCCATTTACCAAGAGGCTGGTCTTTACGACACAGGACACACACAACACACCTACACGATGAACCAGCACCAGCATCTCCCACTCCTGGAGAACGGACACAGAATTTCCCGATGGGGAGCTGAGGGAGCAGAAGAGCTCCAGGCATTTGGGCCGGTGGCAGGGGTCCTGGCTGCACCAGCCCAAGCTCCCCTGAAAATCTGTCCTCGGGGGAGCACTGAGCACGTGGAAACGGCTTTAAATGCTGGGGTGGTGGAGCTGGGGCAAGACGGAGACCTCCTGGCTACCACCCTTCACCACCTAAACCACAACGGGCCACCTTCAGCCCCGTGGCAAGTGGGGACAGCTCTGAGGACCCACACATGTGCCTTGGGGACACTCCGTCACAGGGGTGAGGGAAAGCACACACCGAGCAGCTGCTTTCTTGAGAGAAGCAAATCTTTTGATCAAGTGATGAATTCCCAGTCCGCCTGCACATTATTTCTCATAATGCTTTAAAGCACCAAATGCACCAAAGAGAACAACCTCTCCCCAGCAATTTGTTTCTGCCAAGGGTTTTATCTCCATTCCTTCATTGCAAAATACTTAGTGCCTTAATAATTTAAAGTCTTTTTCTACCAATGGTGAATTATAAACAAAGATTATTTACAGAAATAGTGCATAAAGCGTCAGGGGCTTTATGCAACCGTTGGTATTTGTTATTCCCCGAGAAAAGCCAGCATTCCAGGCACTTCACAGAGAGGGGAGAGGCCAGGTCTCCATCCCAAGAAAACTTGACTTAAACAAAGCTCAAATCATGTCAAGAAGACCCAACACTAATGCTCCACGTCAGCACTAGTATTTCAGGTTACTTAATATTTATATTGCACACTTGTGCCCCAAACCAATGGAAAGGGCCTCAGCAGGTGCCTGGATCAAACCACACTTAAAATCCAGTGACTTAATAAAGATTAATTTATGAATATGTAAGTAATCTGCTGAAATCAGATCACACTGAAGATGTCCAAGTGCCTTTGAGAATACAAGCCCTAACGTCTCCCCCATCACAGCAGCACTGTAAAGGCTCCCCGATGTCCTTGCCCTGGGTGCGTTCCCCAGTGGACTGCAGCAGAACGGGAAGGCAGATTACAAAGCAGTTTGGTAAACATGTTAAATGAACATAAAAACACAATTATAGGTTGACTTTTAAAGGAACGCTACAAGCTAAGTGGGAGGAAGGATCCCCCTCTCCCCAAAAAGGGACGCGTGAAGCCGCAGGACCTCTCCAACCAACAGACAGCCAGGCTGCGGCACCCCAGAGCTTTTACTTTTTATCTGTTTTCTTCCAACACACAAAGAAATATGAGTTATTGAGCTTTATTACCCTATCAATACATCCACAGATTCCCCACAGAAGTCATTTTGTACCTACACACCTGTGAAATTGCACCTAAATTTTCTTCAATCTAAACTAGCAAATAGGACAAACACCTCAAGATCTGCAATTATGCACTTCAGCATCCACTTCACATAATGAACTAAATTCCCATCTCAATTATTCAAGCCAAACCTTATCGATTTGGGCACTTGGGCTGCTACCAGCCAACAGGAACCGCAAAAACTTGTTGCGCAAAAGCGCTTTAGAGTTTGTCAAACATGCATCAAAACAAATTTACCTTTCAAAGCTCGTTGCTAGCAGTGCTATTAGACCTGCTAGACTTGATTAAGAAAAGAAAAAAGCATCGCATCAGTTCTAATGGCTATGTGAGGTGCTGAGAGGGCAGGTCCAGCACAGCGGCGATGAGCTGCCCCGTGCAGAGACCCCCTCGTGCCGCAGGAGCAGCGTAGCCAGAGCCGGCTGCACGCCGAGTCCGTCCCAACACTACAGCAGCACCAGCCGAGACCTGAACTTCTTCAGCTGGAAAGAGATGGGCACTACAAGGCAAATTCCCATTCAAAATGCTGCTGTTGATGGGGAAAAAAAATTATTCCATACCGACGAGGGCCATGCATAAGCACTGCTGTGCTCCTGCCCTCTCCATCCTGCAAACCAGCACTGATGGACACGGCTCGCCAGGAGCCATCAGAGCCCAAAAGGACACACGGGCACAGCCGATACCTGGGCACATTGCTGTAAAAATCAAATAGCCTTATCCACAGTGAGAGCCTAAAAGATCCTTAGCTGAGATAGGGCTGTGCCGTAGCAGCTTTATGAACTTGGTTTTGTGGCCATGCTTGTACTAGGGGAAAAAGGAGGGCTGTCCCCAAATATATTATACTCACAGGAGAGGGAGGAGCTGATTTTGACAGTGTATTACCTTCCATGAAAATCAGCCATGGCAAAAAAAGTTAAAAACAGAAGTCAGAGAAGAGGGGCTGCATATGCTGGCAAGAGCCTCACATTTCTTTCGCCCTTTATCAAAGGACCTCAGTCACCCATCAAAAGGGTCCGGCCACTGCCAAACTGCAGTGCAACTCATTGGGAACGTCATCGCTACGTACAGGAGCCCCATGTGCGCTGGACGGCTGCGGGAGGCGAAGGCAGGATCCATCTGGGGCCCGCTGCCTTCTCTGAGGGATGCAAACACAAACAGCCTTGCTGGAAAGAGCAGCTGACTTTGGGTTGATCTTGGCAATGGCACCAACTACTCAACCAGGTTTTCCTTCCAACGGCAGGGCTGTTTGTGTGCTGAGATGCTTTTGGAAAGCCATACGCTTTCCAAAAACACACACAGCAACTTCCCAATGCCTTCTTTTTTTTTCCTGCAGGTCTTTGCCCATCAAAATTGCACAAAGCCAGGTCAAAACCTGGAGGCAGCTCAGCCTCAGCAGCTGAACTCAGTGGCAACGCAGATGCCACCAGCTCTGCACACGCCAGTTCCCCGGGAGAGTGAGAAATGCTGCAATAATCCAAAATAACACAGGCAAAAAGCAGCTTTTTGTTCACAGGCTGGCTGAGGGGTGGCTCCAGCTGCCTCAGCAGCAACGGGGGAGGCTGGTTCTGCTGCCGGTGGGGGCACGGAGCCGGGCCCGTCTGCTGCGGAAGCAATCGGGAAGCTGCGAAATCGCCCCCGAGTGCATGATAAGGCATGACGGGGCAGATACAGAAGACATCTCCCAAAAGGGTAGTTTCCTTCCAGGCCCTGCCTCCCCCAAACCACCCCAGAGATTTTTGGGGAGGAACGGTGGCCCGCTTCAGGGCAGCAGCATCACACACGGTCCCCCCTACCCACACCCAAGACACCCTTGCTGCACCCAGCTCGGCTCATGCATCTGGCTGGCTGACAGAGCCCCAAAATGCCCTAAAGCCCCTTTGCTTGGGCAGCAGGGAACCAGACAGCAGCATTAAAATCCATTGCTTAGCGCAGCGTCGAGGTTTGACATGATGATGTACCAGACTATGAAAACCCGAGGCTTAATTTCAAAGACACTTTGTTGTCCCGATAGCAGTCGGGTTCGAGAAGGCGAGAAACATCCACAGCCAGAATAGGAAAGCGGTAACAAACATCTACCTTAGACGTCTGGGAACACACCAAAGATGAGCACTACAGAAGAAGATTAAGGAACATTATGCTGGCTCCTAGCCAGAGCCTGGATTTTTGGAGCCTTTATTCAGTTTTCTCAAGCAAACGTTTTGCTTTTGAAGGTAACCTTCAAAAACACCTTACCAAGAGCTTCTGCAAACGCAAAGGAACACGCAAGGATGGATGAACCCCAGCACTGCCCCGCGCTGGGATGCTCAGCCATGGTTGGAAGTATTGTGTTGAGGTTGGGATAACACCATCTGCAACGGGAGCCAAGGACAAAGACCTCTCAGGGATGGGGCACTGGTCCAAGATCCAACTCCTGGCTCTCCCTGACTTTCCATAGTCACTCACCCTTGCTCTGCCTCAGTTTCCCATCTGCAGGGTGTTCACCCCCCCGCCCAGGGCCTCTGAGCCCTGGTCGTCTCTGCCTCTGCTTCCCATTTCTAAAACGTTGAGGTTTCCCTTCCTTCCCCATAAAGCACCATGCAACAGCTCAAAGCACTTGGCTATCAGTGATAAAAGCCACCACCTTTGCTCGTGAACGTGTTGACAGGCTTTAATTAATTAACAACCCAATGACGTTTTGAGATCCCAGAATAGAGGCACTATAAAAGTGCGTATCACTGCCACATGTTACTCCTTCAAGCAAAAAAAAAAAACAAAAACAAAAAAACAAAAAAAAAACCAACACACCAGACTGCTCCCTTCATGAGCAGCATTTTAACCTTTACTTTTCATTGCTTAGAGGCAGGTGGAGTAAAAGAAAAGGTTTACAGTTTGCTACAGCAAGGGACACGCTGCTGTATGGGAGACACAGATTTAATACGCAATTTCAGTTAGCTGTAACCCCGAATTGATTAATTATTATGCAAAAGTCGTAGGTTACTAATAAACTGGAGAATAGTTATTTCTATTTTTGTACTGCATTGGATACATGCCATGGCTGTGAGCAGCACCAGCACAACCAAGAACCTGCCAGGTTTGCAGTGCTCGGCGCGAGCCCCTCCAGCCCACACCCCCGCGCAGGGATCTCGTTCTCCAAATCCCACCCCAATGCAAAGCAAACCCCAGCGACGTCCCAGCCTGAGCCAGGTCTGATGTGAGACCGCGTCCCTTCATCTCCATCCCCTCCCAGTACTTAGGTAAGGCTCATTCTGGTGTAAAAATAATTTCCCGAATTATTTTTTCACATCCTTTCAGACTACCAATGTTTTAAGTCTTCACACGTATTTTAAGTGTGATTCCTTCTCCCATCCAAACCACTTAATGAATGAATAATTTAAAAACAAGTGAAATATTTACAAGTGGTAAAAGAAGAAATCACTATGAAACACACGCAGATGTCTATATGAAACCATATTTGCTGGGTACACCCTGAAACAGTGCAAATCCTGAATGAAGTCACCGACTCACTGGGAGCCGACATGGAAAATCCAAGATGCACATTTTTTGTTAGAAGAACACGCAGCTGAAAGAGCAAGCTGTGAAGTCCCAGGGATGCTCTTTATTGTCCTGCTTCAAAAACATCCCCAGAGAGACAGCCATTTTCTATTCTCTGGACTAGAAGATAAAAAAAAAAATATATATATATATATATATATATATAACCTGGAGGTACTGTTAGTTTTTTGGGTGCTAGTGCTGCCCCAGCAGCCCTGGGAGCCAGAGGTGCGGCACCAGTGTGGTATCCCACTGGATTTAAAATAGCAGTAACGATGCCAGGCTTGGGGCATCTCCTGCCATTTGTTGATAGAGGCAAAGCCAGACATCCTCACCTCCCTCCATCGTTTGCACCCTAATTCCTCCCCCTGCACACGTGGCTCCAGGTGGGCAGCCCAAAGCCCAGCCAGCCCGAGGAGGCACCCACTTCTTGATTACCAAATGCTTTTAGTTACACTGGGTTTATACCAACGTAATCTCACTTCACACCAGTCCGACCTCCCAAATATTAACACACCACCGACTCAATATCCCATTCATTTGCACAGAACAGATGAAGCTAGTGTATTCACGGCATCCCATCCCTGGAAAGGCTCCATTTTGGTATTAATATAGCCGTTCCCCCCCCCCACCGCCATACTTTATTCCCAAATTCAAGCCCTACCTTCTCTCCATCTTCCCTCATTTCCCCTTCTCAATCCCTCTCCAGGCACCATTTCTGACAACACAGGAATAAAGGGATCAGGCAGCAGGTTTAAAAATCTATCCAAGGCCATTTCCTTTCCCCTTGTAATTAAATTGTGGAACTCATTGTCAGGGGATGTTCTGGGAGCCAGACATACCTACGGCTTCAAAGGAGGACTGGATAAGCTCACGGAGGATAGGTCCACTGGCAGCTATTAAACGCAGGGACCTGCGGGAAGCATCCTGATGGGAAAGTCCCCGAAACGCTGGCTGCAAAAAGTCAGGATTATGCCCGGTCCTCTTGGCATCTTCTTCTGGCCAGTCTTGGATGGGTGAAGCTTTGGTCTGACCCAGCCTGGCAGTTATGATTTTCTCCCTGTTTTCACTGCTCAGGGACAGTTGCAGCTCCAGTCCTCCCCCCAAACAAACAAATCCCCTTTAAACAGTTAGACATGGCTATTTCCACTGGGAATTTTTTCTTATTACAGCCAAAGATGCAGCTGTGCTGCACCGCTGCTCTTCCCCCATCACCTCTCAACAGGGTATTTCCTTTAACCCCAGGAAGATATTTCATCCCCTCAATACGATCCACCAGTGGGCTAAACCTCCCCTAGCAAACTGGACGAAGGTCAGGACAGTGCCGTCCCAGCATGGGATATACGATAACAAGAGCATCTGTGCCATCTGTTAAAAGAGAAGGTCCCATTTATCCCAGCCCTTGCAGAACATTTTACTGAGCTCCAGCCCGTCCCTTCTGCATCTCTGATGCCACCAGCTCAGCGTGGTCAACTCTTGCCCTGGACTGGCTTTTGCATTGAACTCTGCGCTCCTCACTTGGGTAGCTGAGTGCTACCAAGCTGATGCCGTGAACACGGGAGATGTTACTCCAGTGTAACAATGCTTTTGCCTTCAACCATTGCAGGCAGCGTGCCTTCACCCCATGGCCTGCAGCAGATCTGAAAGGGTACAGGCTGGTTGAGCTCTCCCTCAGGGAGCTGAGGAACATCTGCCATGGGCTAAGAGCTCCTGCAAGAACGGGATCAGAGATGAGCTGATGCACTGTAACTTCTTAAAGAGAGGTGTGCTGCCGAGCCCTAGGATTCATTCGCATCTAGACAGCACTCCACACAAAATAATAGTCGACTCTTGCATTACGAAGCTGCATTAAAGTGCTCAGACCTGTAATTCATTCTCACTTGAGGCTATAATGCGAAGCCAAAGCAGTAGGAAAAGGATCTCTGCCTACCCCCAAAAACGTGTCTTCTGTTATTTTGCATTCTGTTTATTACTGAGTGCATCAGATTCAGGGCACTTACAGACTCCTTCAAGCTCAGGGCACTGCAGAGCCAGGCGTGCTGCTGGTGAAGAGAACAGCATCATTCACATTAATGCTGTTAAGAGCTTTACACAAGTCACTTGTGTTGTTCCATAAAAGGATTGTATGGGTCAACAGAGAGGAAAAGACAAGGATTTCTCAGTGCTTATACATCACTTGTAATATCGTTAAAAGATTAAACATATTTATCGAGGAAAAATGAATCAGATTCAATCTCTCTTATCACTTGGAAAGAAGCACAAAGCCAAGGTCCCAACTCTCGGGGTCACCAGCAGCCACACAAGCACTTTTCCTCAGCGTCAAGCAGGCAGACTTCGGGTTTCGGCCAAACCCTAGCTCAGCCCAGCCCATGTCACCCCTCTGCCTTTTCTTTGCATTTTCAAAGGGATGCAGCATCACTCCCCGCTTCAGTTCACAGCCCTCCTACCCCACCAGCCGCGAGCAAAGCGACCGCTCCTCTCCTTCGGCTAACCACAGCCAGGACTCACAGGCCTTAAACAAATGCAGAGGCTTCTTACTCCTGGGATTAGTTATTTTTATTCCTTTCCTGCACCTGCAATTGACCATACAGGCATTTGGTTTCTGAGGAGCTCCTGAAAATTCCTCAGTGCAATGCAAGCACTGAACAACTTTGTTGCTTTCCCTTCCTTTTTGATGCTAAACAAGTTAGCAACCTGCGCAGCAAGCTTTGAACCAGCTCATTCCCCAGTAAACGTGCATCAAAGAAGTCAGACTCACAGGTGTAAAGCTGTCTTGGGAGACTAAAGGATCAAACCCTGCAAACATAAGCAAAAAAGTAAAACATGGATTCTCATTAACCTCATATTCTTCCTGCACTGGGAGATCCCCAGCTCGTGGCACCACCGAGGCTGAGAGCAGGGCAAAATACCCGAGGAGCTCCCATCGACGAGACAAGAAGATGTCAGAGAAGCAGGAGTGGCCCAGTAGTTAGGAACCAGATTATAACGCAGAAAGCTGTGCAGGAGGGATTACACAACTGCAGCTAAAGAATTATTCCTATATAACAATAAATTTCCATACGCAGACAAAGCCTCTGGATCTCTACTAAGCAGACTGCATATAAAGAAGAATGTGGCCCTAAAG